CAAAACAATAATGCTATAAAAAATTTGCATAATTTACACCAATATATGCTAATATTAACAATTTTACATAAAATAAAATATTTATGTATATTGTTTTAAATGTAAAATATTTAATATAAATGTAAAAAACGTATAATTCATTAAATTACTATAATATATACAAAAATACAATATATTAAGTTTATACGTGTAAAAACATATATTAAAAAATAAATAATATAATATGATTTTTAAAATTGATATTTTAAGTCATATATTGAATAAATTTTTAACTTTTTTTTAAATAAAAATAATAGTAAATAATATAATTCAGGCATTTGTTGCAAAACTTTTGAGTTTTTCACAATACAACTACTAAAATAATATTATTGAGTATTATTATTACTTTAAAAAAATTAGATAATCAAAATGCGTTTTTAAAAATGTACAGGAATTTTAATATCCACTTATATAAAAAAAAATTAACCGCCGGTGCATTCACTGCTAACTACAGTATTTATAATTTAAAAAAAATATTTTCATATAACTTATATATTACATAATAACATGGTTTTGATATTTGTAATAAAAACTTTGTATTATATATATATATATATTGACACAAATAATATTAACTATAATTTTTTTATAATGACAGTATAAAAAGTGTTATATATTTACACACACACTATATTTATAAAATTATATCATATTTATTCAACACATGTATATCTGGTTATTAATTTAGTTATCATTTAATTTAAAAATCAGAATTTATTTTTTTTACAATAATTATAATTTCTTACAGAAAAAAGCACTTAAAAATACTTTATCATAAAATTTGTTTGAAGAGTTAATAGAAAAAATTTGTTTTTTAAAAATCATTCAACAAATTTTGTTTGAATGTTTAAAAATTTGTTGAGAAAAAAATAAATAATATTATTTATTTATTTATTTATATATTAATTGCATTAGTATATACTAGTATACAACAACAAAAACTAATAAAACTTTTTTTTATATATTATAATAATATTTAAAAAATATTATATAAAAATATATGTATTTATATTCTCTCTCTCTCTCTCTCTCTCTCTCTCTCTCTCTCTCTCTCTCTCTCTCTATGTGTGTGTTTTTTTGACTTAAGTTTTTCAAAATATTAATAACAATAATAATTAATTATATTTTAAGACTCTCTCTCTCTCTCTCTCTCTCTCTCTCTCTCTCTCTCTCTCTCTCTCTCTCTCTATGTCTGTCTCACTGTTTAATAGACTACACCTTCAGATATAAATTTATGTATATAATCTATAAAATTAATTATTAACATTATATATCATTTATCAGCGCACAGGCATAAGGGCTGTGCCATTAAATTAGTCGATGCGATGACGTTTTTTGGTGTATGTGTGTGTCTATATGTTTGTTAATATTATGTACGATATGTATGTTTAAATATATGCACAGACTATAAGAAATTATCATCATTTGATGCCAACCGGGAGTTCATTGATATCATCGCACAAATACACAACTATTGCCAAACACTTCAAACAATTTTATGTAGAAGTAGTGAACACTACTTGACATTAGTTGGCTGTCTCTCTCTCTCTCTCTCTCGTCTAACTTTTTTTGTCTAAACACGTATTCATACAGTAAAAATATAATATTAAACTTCTATTATTATTATTAAATAGTGATTGTTTGTCTCTAATATATATATATATATATAGTACTGTATACTATATATACTATATATATATGAATAAATCCCTAACTAATGATGTCATTGAAATCAAAACTTATAATAATAATATAAAAAGATTTTTTTTCATACATCAATCTGTATTGACATTGAATTTTGCAAAAAATAAAACTTATATTAAGCCTCTCTCTCTCTCTCTCTCTCTCTCTCTCTCTCTCTCTCTCTCCATATAAATCCACACTCAAACTACTGTATTTAATATGTAATACCAAATAAAGAAACTATATTTAATACAAAGTTATATTGTGTATCTAAATATTAATATATTGATAATTTTTTTGGCGATAAGAAAAATTCACATAAAATATTACCAAAAATTATGTTTCTAGTGTTTTAAATGTTATGTCACTGAATATATCATAGCATATATATTACAGTATATTATATGCGTAATATTCAAATTATTTATCAAACAAAATATTATCAATTTTAAAATTAAATAACTAACCAAAATTTTTCCATTACACTGTATATAATATAATTACTAGATTATACTTGAAAAATATATTTAAATATAATTTATATAAAAAAAAACTTTTTGCATATAATTTCAATTTATATGTTAAATAGATTTTAAATGTTTTGTATTTTTGTTTTTTGATTTTAATTTCCTATATATATAAATTGTAATTATAATTATATTGCTAGGGTGCAGTACAAACATTAATTACATGTTTTGTACATTATATAGATATTTATATAATAAATAAATATATATAATTTTTTAATATAATACTATATATTATTTTTTGATACAAAGATAGTTTGGTAAAATAAAAATGTCTGAAATTTATTATTTTATTTTCTATTCATATACTACTATTTAATGTTAAACATTTTTTAAAAACTTATTTCTTTATATATATATAAATAAAATTATATGAAAATTTTGAACACATTTATGGATTAAATACAGTATAAAATTTTTAAATATTTATTTGTGATTCATATACAGTAAATAAATGTAATCATCCGTAGGCTTCAAGGTTTGCCTCCCGGAGCGTATATGGCCATCAAATTGGTTATATAAAATATGCCATACATTTAATATGTTGTACATATTATCTAGACATAAATATATATATATATAATAATAATCATAATAATCGTTCACTATATATATTTTTTGTATAAATACATCTAATATTATTATTATTATTAATACATATATGAAATTATATGAATTATGATTATTACAGTAATTACCTATATTTTTTTAGTAAAATAATATTATTATTATTACTATTTTATATATATATATATAAGTTTAAGTGCTTTCTCTGTCTCATGATTTAATATATTATAATCATTATTGATTGCCATGAATTTTATTTGGTGTGAAAATCTGTAATCACAAAAATTTCTACATTAAATTATAATAATATTAAAAAAAATATATTATATAAAAATATATGTATTTATATTTCTCTCTTCTCTCTCTCTCTCTCTCTCTCTCTCTCTCTCTCTCTAACGATTTAGCTTAAGTCTCTCACATGTGATGTATTTGTGTGTGTGTTTGAGTTTAATTTACTTTACATAATAACAATAAAAATACTAAAATAATAATAATATTTACTTAATTTTTATAATGTGAACCCATTTCTTATTGGATTACTGTCTGTTCGTTATATATGTTATTAACTAAAAGAAAAAATCATAATTTCGTTTAATATTTAATATTGATATATGAATATCCATTTAGATTTATTTGATAAAAACATAATATTAAATTATTATATTTATTGTATATATATATATTCAATACATTATATAAAGTATATATTTTAGCTAATAATTGTTACTGACGTATAGTTCAGCCCTCGATTAGCATTAAGTTAATACAGTTTATAATATTATAATCACTAACTAATTGTATTTTAATTATTTGTTAAATTTGATAGATAAACCAATAATATTTTTTTGAAATTAAAAAAAGTTGATTTTTAAAATATTTATTAATTATAAATTAATAATTATTAGTTATAAATTGTAATATTATTTATTGTTTTAAAATTTAATTACTTGTGATAATAACTTATAAATTTTTAGGCAATAACTAAGAAAAAATTAAATAATTAAAATCGCATTAATAAGTTAGTGTTTATTATTTTAAATAAAATATAAATTTTCCCCAATTAACTAATAATCTATTGGCACTTATATATATATATATATATATTAAATACTTAAACTTTTAAGAAAACAATGAAACAAAAAGATAAAGAAAACATAAGTCTCTTAAAAATACAATTATTAAATAATAAAAAGTAATGATAAATAATAATAAATATTATACAATATAGTCTCGTAGCATAATTATGACTGTCTATTGTTATGAAATATTTATTTTTCTAACATTTCTGACACATAATACCTACATTGTATGTCTATCTAAGTATTCATGTACTGTAGATATATTGATAAAAACTATTCAACGGCGAAAAATATATGACAAAAACAACAATTACACCAATGATTCTCAACAATAAAATATCAACAAAATAATAATAATAATAATAATAATAATAATAATAATAATAATAATAATAATAATAATAATAATAATAATAATAATAATAATAATAATAATAATAATAATAATAATAATAAAAGATATACAGAATATATACAGTATAAAGAAATGAATAGAGAAAAAGTGATTATTGTTTTTTTTGTCTCTAATTTTTAGACACAATTGAAATGAAACTCTAGTATATATATATATATGTGTGTGTGTGTGTGTTTGTGTGTGTGAGTGAGTAAGTGAGTGTATGTGTGTGTATGTGTGACCATTATAAAGGTATCACTAGCTTTCAACACATTATTTTATACTTTTACATGTATACTGTATATACAATATTTGATGTACACTTTTATGTTAACTTATAATAAGTTACAATAACTATTTTGATAAACACATTGTAAATACTATGATATTTTTATGTACCGGTATTATACAGGTATATTATACAGTTTTATCACTATATAAAAATTAATAACATTGTTACCAAAAACAAAAAAAAACTTATTATTTAATAAAACAAAGTAACTAAATGTCAACTTTTTTTATTATTATTATTAGTGATGAATAGACAGCCCTAAATAACGAGAAAGTCATAATTGTTAATTATTTTACGTTTTGAAAAAAGTATATGACAAACAATGATTAAATAAAGACAATAATAGCAAAAAAAAGTGATTACAATGATTATTATTATGATGATTATTGTTGGTGTTGTTGTATTATTGGGTTATTAAGGCATTACATTGACATTACCCGATAGATACACTACTAGTGCTAGCAGTTGTTGTTGGGTTAGTCCTATCAGTACTTTATGAGATGACAACTATTACCCCATTATTGTTGTGTCAGTGTTTGTCAGTCCTCCCGATAGTCACTTTGACAGACAATATACTACAGTGTATACTATATTTTATTTCATAACAAGTTGTTGTCTAATATTACTTATACTGTATTTATGATAACTAGCTATGAATGCGATCACGTATTTGTCATCAAAAGTTAGTTTAGTTTTTAAAAAAATGATTTACTTTTTTTTGTCTCGTCTATGAGTTTACAATCTTCAGCGACAATCAATGCATTTCATATATAATTTTATATTTCATTACTCTTTTATACATTTTGTTTATATGTTTATCACTTTCAATTTATACACACGTATAATGAGCACAGGTATGACTAAGTTATCAGTTGATGTGTTTTTTTGTTGTTTTGAAATAAATAATAATAATTTTTCGCTTTAAGCGCACACTATATTAAGTAAATTAAACAAAACTACAATTAAATGACAGTTTTTAAAATTTCTATTAATGATTTATTTTCTAATAAATATTCTTAACAAAAAAATATATATTTAAATATAATTTTACAAATGAATAAACTAATGTCATTGATATTTAAATTTATTATATATATATATATATATATATTTAAAATTTAATATTTAAAGTTAATTGGATCTTTCGGTTATAATTATTATTGTTCATAAATATAATTTATCGATATATTTATGTATTTTTTTGGTATTATATAATTAATATGATTTACTAGATTATTGAAAATAATTACATTATTAAAAAATACTTTCTGTAAAAAAACTAAAATTATTTTTCAAATAATTTATTTATATATATTAATAACAGACAAGTATTACATAATAATTATAAACTAATATTTTATTGTTATTCGTTTTATTAATAATAATAATCATATATACGTCGGAAACTCTCATCTGATAATTTATTTTTGATATTTTATATAACAACTCGTTATTGTCGATGTCATTGTATTTGCAACCAACAAACAATGCAATAGATATCATCATAAATATATATATATATATAATGTATATATATCTTGTATATTCTGTATATAATATTTTGTCGCAAAACAATTTGCTGAATATCCCATAAAAATTTAAAGCATAAAAAATGTTTGTCTCGATTGTTATGTGATGTTTAATGACAATCACTTGAAGCGAAACAAACTATGTTTTATTATTACACAACAATTGCAACAATCACTGCATCTCTACTTTTTTTTGGGACATAAAATAATTGTATACAATGTATAGTATACACTAATGTATAACACATAATACAGTATTATACAGTATTATATGAAAGTTGTTTTTATTATTAAACATTAATAATAGTATTATTATTATTTGTAATGTTATTATTAATAATCTTACATTTAATAAATCTGATATTAAAATATTAAAAATTATAGTCAGTAATAATAAAACCTTTTTTAATGCATTTTTTAATAAACTTATAATAATGGTTTGTAAATAAAATAGATAGACATTTTTGTAAATATTATATATAATATATTAAATTATTATAAATTTTACTATATTTTTTAGTTTGTTATTATCAAATTAAATCATTTATGTAGTAAATAGTAGTTATAAAAACAAAAGATTAAATATTTATAAATATATTTTAAAATTTATCCTTTTTAGTTGTTAAGAAAAAAATAATAACCTTAAAACTTAAGTGTTTTAAAATTTTTTAATTATTATTTTGTAGTTATTTATTTTTATTTTTATTACTAGAAATTATTTAATTAAAATTTTTTATTATAATAAAGGAAAATCTATCAATTAAATTATACTTTTAAAAATGCTTTAAATATTAAATTGATTAGTTGTGTTTATTTGAAATTCATAATATATAAAAAAAACTTATATAATTAAATTGAACCTCAAAAGCATATTTTATAATTATAATTAACTATTATTATTTATAATTATCTATTTGTTAAAATAATGATATATTAAATAAATATTATTTATTTATTTTTTGCATTATTAGTATTATTATCATTATTTTAACTTTATTGATATAAAATTTAAAAATGTAAAAATATATTTTTTATCACTATATTGTTTTTGATTAGATTTAAAAGTTTATTACAATATATAAATTATTAAATAAAACTATTGTAATAAATAAAAAGTTCATAATTTTAATTTTATTAATGCATTTGTTTTTTATATAATAAAAAATATTTTATAAACAAAATTTTATGATAATTTATTACTTCACAAATTAAATATAATGTATACAGTATTATAGTATATGTATGTTATGTTTAATGTCAAATATATTATTTATTAAATTTTTATATAAAATGTATATAAATTTTATACAAAACCAGTTGAGAATGCTAGAAAGCATTGCCAGAAACAAACTTTAAAAACTCATATTAGGGTTTGCATTTTAATAAGATTTTTTAATTAAAAATAAATAACTCAATATTATATAAAATTTTTATTTTATTTTAAACATATAAATTATTAAATACAAGATTTAAATAAAATTAATTGATAAAGTAATTAAGAAATTTTTTTTTAATTATTTTTAAAGTTAATCATTAATAATAAACAAATCCAAATAGTATTAAAAATGAGAATATTGTTTTTTATATAAAATTATATAGATTAATAACAATGGATGTAATAACAATGCTTTAAATATCATTGTTAGTATTAATATTGTTTAATATATCTTCAATATCGTCATCCATTTCATCATCTGATTCATTTTCTTCTTCAAAATCCATTTCTGATGAAGTTTCGCCAGATGTTTCGTCAGAAGTTTCGTTTGATGTTTCCTCACAAGATTCAGAAGCATTAATTTCAAGAGAAACATCAATGACAAGTTGATTTAAAACATCATGAACTATTTCTTCTATACTCATAACTTGACCATAATTATTAAATTCAATATTTTGAAGGCTTTCATCAAATTCTTCGTCAAATATTTGCGCTATATCAATAACATTACCGTTATCATCAAATTCTATGTTTGCAAGAATAGCATCTAATTCATCGTCAAAATCTTGTGAATCAGACATATTTATTTATCTATTAAATAATTAAAAATAATAATTATATAAAATTAAGACGTTTTTAAATTATAATATTACTTACGACTGTTCTGTCCGATAGCTCGACTTCAAATGACTTGACTTACAATTATTACTTTATAACAATAAAATGTTGACGTAATAATAATGTTGACGCAACAAAAAGGTAATCACATAAATAAAGAAAATATTGTATTAATATTTACATTAATTATGAATAAAGATAACTAATTTAAATTTATAAATATTTTATAATACTTACGACTGTTCTCTCCGATAGCTCGACTTCGAATGACAGATTTCAAATGACTTGACTTACAATATCTTCTTTATATCACAATAAAATGTTGACGCAACAAAAAGGTAATCACATAAATAAAGAAAATAATATTTATATCAATTAGGAATAAACATAACATATTTAAATTTATAAATAATTTATAATAGTTACGACTGTTCTTTCCGATAGCTCGACTTCAAATGACGACTTATAATTATTACTTTATATTACAATAAACTGTTGACGTATTAATGTTGACTCAATAATAATATTGATGTTACAAAAAGGTAATCACATAAATAAAGTAATTATTTTATATTAATATTAATATTTATTATGAATAAAGATAACTAATTTAGATTTATAAATAATTTATTTTAATTACGACTGTTCTCTCCGATAGCTCGCCTTAAAATGACAGATTTTAAATGACTTGACTTACAATTACTACTTTATAACACAATAAAATGTTGACGCAACAAAAAGGTAATCACATAAATAAAGAAAATATTATTCAAATTAATTTTTTCAAAAATATTTTTATTTAATTAATTTTCTTTTAATGAAATTTATACAAATTATTTAATCAATAGTTATAATTTCATAGTCAATAATTGTAATTATTTCTTCAATAAAAATAATTTCTGAAGACACGATTTGATCATTTATCATAATATTTTGATTATCTATATTATAGTTATTGTTTACATTAATTTCAAGAATATCAAAGTAATTAGGATGTTGAAGAAGATGTGCTTTTACTCCAAAATTAAGTTCGTTTTTATTCATCCATAAATTACGACAATATGCACAGTTGAGATCTTTAAATTGATCGAATGCAGTCTTTATAAGTGACATCAAACATGAAGGACAAAAGCGGTGAATACAAGGTTTTTCCATTAGAGCAAATTGAATAAGTTCGACATTCAATTGACAAATGTTGCACATATTAATAGTAGACATTTTATTCAAATAATCATAAATGTCTTGATCTTAAATATGACTTGAATTTTAATATTCAATTAATATATAATACAATAATCTGTAATATGATTAGTTAAAAATAAATATTACGTACATAGTACGATAGTACATTCCCTTCGATGGCTCGACTTGAACTGAGACTTGAAATAATAATTTCACTTTATTTAAAATTATTAAATGTTGACGTAATATTAATGTTGACGCAATTATTAAAATCACACAAATATCAAATAAAAAATAAATATTAATAATTAATTATTAATATATTTAAAATAATTATATTTAATTAAGAAATAAATTTGACTTACATGTTGTCCCTTCGATGGCTCGACTTGAACTGAGACTTGAAATAATAATTTCACTATTTAAAATTATTAAATGACGTAATATTAATGTTGACGCAATATTAATGTTAACGTAATTATAAATGTTGACGCAATTATTAATGTTGACGCAATTATTAAAATCACACAAATATCAAATAAAAAATAAATAATTAATTATTAATATATTTAAAATAATTATATTTAATTAAGAAATAAATTTTACTTACATGTTGCCCCTTCGATGGCTCGACTTGAATTGAGACTTGAAATAATAATTTCACTATTTAAAATTATTAAATGACGTAATATTAATGTTGACGCAATATTAATGTTAACGCAATTATTAATGTTG